GCGGCGATCACCACGAGAGTCGCAATCGACTAATTTTTGATAGAAGTCTCAATCACCTCCAAGCGCAGGACATCTAGCTAAGAGAATTGCTGTATTGATCGTTACTTCCACTACACCACCTTTGAATAAAGTTGATTCTTATTGGCTAAAAATTTATTTTCTCGTACAATAGTCATTGGCAACACAAAAGAATAATGATTCATCAAGAACGAATTAATGTAATGATTCTGGAGATTTCCAACGTTTTCTACTGTAACAACACTAACTGAGGTCTCATGAAAGCTGTTGTTGGGCACGTTCATTAATCACAATCAGAACGTTGATTCATGAAAGTACTGATGGTGAAAGAACAGATGCCATCACATAACTCTTGGACAGCACTGATGGTGATAGAACCCCGGGTGACAGTATGGCGCCACCCAGGGTCATAGGAGAGATGACATCGGGACAAATAACCAGTGGACTCAATATCAGAGGTGATAGAACGTAAGGATTAATGACGTTCGGGGAAAGAACGTATGGATTCAGAATGAATGGAGCCATCACAAGAGGACTGATCACGTATGGAGACAAAAGATATGGCGATACAATGAAAGGCAACGGAATTGATGGTGACATAACCCATGGACCAAGTATGGAGGTATTCAATATCAATGGTGAAAAGATATTAGGCGAAAGAACAACAGGGCCCAACACGGAGAATCCATAAACTGGAGCAAATTGGTAGGGACTTAACACAGTTGGTTTCAAAACGGAGACCGAATTGACCTGTCGCCGACGTCTCTGAAATATCCAGTGTTAACGGCTGTTTTCCAGCTGGATTACTGGAGGATAAAGGAGTGAGTCAATAGGGTCAACTGAGCTCGAACTAAAACTGATCCACTTGTTAAACAAAACCCCGCTGCTGAGAAGAATTTGAGTAGGTCGGAAAGGTTTCATGCTATTTTTGATTTTTCTTTTTTTCTTTCCCTCGTAAGTTTTGACCAGGATACAGTCCCTTCCTACTATACTTTCTACAAACGTTTATACTAGCAGTCAAAGGGGGGGGGGGACCTCTCGGAAATTACGAAGGAACGCCGATCTACCAATTTTATATTTTTTTTCC